ATTAAGGGAAATATCTGAGGGTGGTTAATTCCCATTCTCACCACCATCCAAAGAGCCTATTCAATCAGTTTTGAGGTAAGGAGAAATTGAAATTCATCACTATTACAAATCCTTCCCCAGAGTTGCCACACAAAGGAAAAAATTGTGAGAGATTTATTAAAGATGTGATTGGGGAGACAGATCTGAAACAAAAATCCCCAAAACCCATTCTGAGTACACAGCACTTCATGAAACACCTAGATGGGAAGTCAAAAATTTAATTAATCTTTTCAGAGGGAAGGGACACGTATCCCATATTTATCATCCTGCACCACATGCTCATGGAAACCTCCAAAGAGCAGGGCATTAGGGACTCAGGATTTCATTTTATCTTCTGCTGGTGTCTGTGTTGAGCAGTAAAGATGGCAAATTATTTGCAAAATTATCAGGCTCCCTCAGTGCCTCAGCACTTCTCAAGGGAAATAACGTGCTTAGAAATACAGATGACACCAAGATTAACTTCCAGTGCCTGAAAGGCACTTGCCTGCCTGACCTGAGTGCAGACCATGGTTTTGCCAAGTGCCACTCAGCAAATGAAAATGCTCATGTGAAGCTCCAGACATCAGCTCAGACACCTCAATGGCATTTCTCTCACCTTGTCCATGGGAAGGGTGAACTTCACTCTCCAAAACCTGACTCTCAGCCCAGCAAGGCAGAAAGACTTCTAAAACTGACAGTGGGGCTGTTTGTATGGCTGACAAAATCTACTCCTTGCAAAAGTAAACAAAATATTCCCCATGAAGGGAAAACATTGGATTTTAGCCCTTATTATTTCTAAAGATGCAATACAACTGTGTGAAACCTGGTTTCTGTGGATGAATTTTGTCACGCTCTCTCAGGCCTGGCAGAACACCTTGTATCTTGTGTCTGGAAGGCCCTTAACTCACTGGTCCTTAATTCTGGGGGTCTCAAAAGGCAGAACTGAATCCCAGGAATTCAGTGAAATTCCAAGACCCTCTTGTCATTCCACCATGGGACCAGCTGCCCCAACAGCAAGGACCTCTGCACAACTCAGAGGTTCCATTTTTGTCTCTGAGTTCTACAGAAGTCTAAATTCACCTTCAACAAAATGCTCATGCTCTCAGCTCAGGGCTAAAACCTGAACTTGCTGAATCAAAAGTTTAAAGGTTTAGAAAAAAGTAAGCGGAAACCCTGAAACCCTCCTCATGGGCAGCTTTACTGCTGACATCCTTGCAAACAGCATCTTCTCCACCTAAAAAAGTGGCAGCACTTACACAGACTTAATGTAGTATTTTACCTCTCTGTGATGGACAGTAGTGTCTTTATGGATTAAAATGTTTATTCTTCTAGCCAGATCCATTGGGATGATGAAAAGATGACTAAAAGATGTAGAGTGAGAAAGCAACTAAGTGATAAAATTACCTGACTGCTAACATTTCGCCATCCAGGAGCAGATTTGGGTTAGCAGTGCTAGGGGGAAAAAAAAAGAAAATAAAAAAAAGGAAAGCAGAAGATAAATAGAAATTCATAAAACTTTCATTCCAAGAGGTGCTCCCTGTGATGCTTGTGCTGGGAAAAGGAAGGTCAGTACCTGCCCTGGCTCCATCTGGCAGGGCCCACAACCCAAAAACATCTTGCTGGGCACCCTTGGGAGCTCATAAGAGCAGGAGGAACCACTTCATCACAAACACAGAGCTGAAATCTGACACTCAGTACCACACAGCACTGCCGGGGCCAAAAATACAAGCTGTCAATACCAGTCTGAGGGAATACCAGCAGAAGGGCCATTTATTATTTCCCCTGTTTCTTCTGCTCTTTCCCTAAGTGCCCACTCCTGGGCACTGTCAGACTGTGGTGAAACATCTCTGTAATTCACTCTGGCTTTTTATGGAGACTTTCTGGGAGCCAAGGCTGCAAATGCCACGGAGGAAAATGACGGATGCTGCAGGCTTTAGGAAATTAACCATTCTTTGATTGCTTGCTTAGCCGAGCAATTTGCAGCGTGATAGACAGAAATTATATCATCCAGTGTCAATTTGTCTATTCATTTTTCCCTCTCCACATGCTTCCTCTCCTTGATTGAATAATCACTAACAATAATCACAAGCATCTGGGGGAAGGAAGTACATCCATCAGTTTTAATGTCAGCAAGAATGAAGGCTGATTCCTCCAGCATTCACCACAGCTCTGCATCTTCAAAGTCATTTACATTCTCCTTATACCAGCACTAATACCCAGATTGTATTATTTCTGTTACGTACTCCCATTTCAGTTTATAATCTAGGAACAATAGAATGGCAATTGGGAAAATACCCAGTTTCAAAAAATAGATGGTTGTTTCATCTGCTATCATGGATCATCATAAATATTTTTACATCTATGCTTTAATTCTCTGAGAATATTGATGGAAGTGTAAGCTTGAGAGTCTGAGGCTGAATAAGACAGGCCAGATCCAAAGAAGATGATTTTCTATGAAGGATGAAGACAGTAAAGGACAGAGCTGTTAGGAAGGTGTAAGTAGGAAAATCCCAGGGATTGCAGAGGCTTTGCAAGGGCTGTCTCTGCACAGTTTGCTACTTGCAGTAATAAATTACCTTACTGTGTCTAGATATTTTGTAGACAACTGTCCAGAACATATACTGAATATTCAGTGATCAAAACACCAAATTCTCAGTTTGTATGGCTGCATAACTCTAAATATACTTTTATATATATATATATATATATATATATATCTGTAAATGATGCTCTATCATCACATAATTCCACAGTGACATTCTCTAGTTTTGTGAACCAATTTCTACCAGCTGAGCTTCCAACTCCCCCTGTTCAGGGACACAGAACAGCAGAAAATACAAAATCAGTGTGAAGGCACAATAAGAGGCCCAAAAATTGCCTTTCCCAGAAAACTGTTAAAGTGATTTGTTTATTCAATAGAATTAAATCATCTTTCAAACACAGTGACACAGACCAAAAAAAAACCAGAAAAAAAAAACAAACCCAAAAACCCCTGATTACTGTTCTAGTTATGGCTTACAGCAATTGATAGGCTTTCTATCACAACCATAGTACAGCTACAGAAACAATAATAAGCCAAAATTACAAGGTGTAAGGTCGACAAAATAAAGGTCAGCCAAAGGACACAAGACATTAACATCATCATAAAACCAACATGAACCCTGCATGGATTTCTCCACCCTCACTGCCACTGCCTTACAGAAACAACAAACATGAAACAGCTTTATTTTTGTCATAGCCCAAGCTCCCCTACAATGGAGACACAAAGTTTTACTCCAGTATTCCCAAAATAAGCATTTGTTTCCCACCAGGTGAAAACCAGGGAAATACTCAACAGGCAGCAGTTGCTCAGTAAATTTACATGGGCTCAATGCAGAGGTTTGATCAGGAACCTCGTGACTGACAGCAGGAGGGCCCAGAAATGAAGAAAAGTCTCCATATTTTTGTCCTGTCTCAGAGAGGGAAGGGATTTTTCTCCCTCTCCTCATCTCCGAGGGGACAGGCTCGAATGCACACCTAAGTGTGTGTCACACAATGCCAACAAATAGGGATTAATTCTGCCTGTTCCACACTGATAAGAAGGCAATAACCAGAGTCTTCACAAGCTGTAGGGAGCACTGGAGATACTTCAGTGTCTTGGTCCATCAGTTTCAGGTGCAACAAACATCTCAAGATAAAGCCAACGCAGTATCTGATTTTTCTGGCTTAATTTGTCACTGTTTTACATGCTAACACATTTTACAGTGATTAGTACAGTCAAAAATGTACATCAGCTTACCCAAAGATCAAACACTGAGAACATCTATGGCTTCTAAATAGAAAGTCAGACACATTGGTAACATATTTACATCTTTCAATCCTTGAAGCACTGAGGCAGATTTGTCTTACTTCAAGCTTCCCACTGTGGCCCATTTCTGATGTTTCTTGGGTGCTCAGGGCTTTGGGGAGCACTGGAGGTGCTGACAGCCTGGGATCCAGGCTCCCTCAACCCAATGCCTCTCGTACATTTGGATTTCTCTTAAGTTTATTTTTAAAAGCATTGAAGTAAAATTTCGTTGAATAGAATCAGTTTTTGTTTTTTTTTTTTTTTTAATTTTTATTTTTAATACCATGCAGACAACACGGGATGCCAAGCAGGATCACCCACTTTAGACAGGATGATAACAAGACACAAAATGATAATAATCTGGGTGGGTTTTTTGGGAGATGCAGGTTATTGGCTTGGCTTACAAGCACTGATGTAAGGCCTGAATTCTCTTTCAGCTGAACCCAAACGTGAATATTGTGGTGGCTTTAAAGGTAGTGGGCTGCATCCTGCCTTCAACACATTCATCTCACTGACAAATTCCATACTGGTAATTTAAAGCAAGCAGAAAAAACCCTCTTTTCCTGAGCCTGTGGTTCACACACATACTGCCAGGTACAGGGGGCTCATGTATGATTTACGCCACCACGATGAAATGCTTTGCATAGATGAGCTTGAAAGGATGAATTGATGAAATCTGGGAGAGTGACAGTCACAACACTTCTGCTTCCAGAGAAGCTTGTTCTTTACTCACACCATTAAAAACATGGTATTGCTCCTGCACTGTATCTAAAGCATATGAAAAAAGTGTATCTGAAATCAAGTGAGGGGGGGAAAAAAGAGGCTGCTCATCTTACCAATGACCAAGGCCCATTTCTGGAGCACTCAAAATTTCCACACACTTCACTGGGTTTTGTAAAGGCCCTAAGCATAAATACTGACTTCCTTATTCCTGGAACCTCAGCTCACTCCAGAATTTCCCAGGGAGCTTGGCCCTTTAGGGACTGCCGAATTTTGCTGTTTTCTTTTTTCCTATACTTGTGAAAGCTCCAAAGCTCTCTGCACTCTCAAATGAGAGTGAGGTGGGGGAAAAGGCCCATTTCAGAGCATTTCACATTCACTACCCTGGCAGACAAGTGGACATGCCAGAAGATCAGAAAGGACAGATTCCCCACCTCGTTTCCCCCCAGCCACAGCAGGGATTGCTCCTCGCTGCCAGGGAGGGCTGAGCACCCACGCAGCTGCGTCAGCACCAGGCTCTGCCTCCAAGGCTTGAGCAGCCCTTCCACTGATTCACCAAACACCCACAGAGGGGCTATTCTTGGAGCTGATTTCCTTCCATCCACTACATCTGGCCATCCCGAGTCACCTTTAATTCATCGTCAGCCGAGCCTGCAAGAGGGTGGATTTTTCAAGGCTGGAGGAGCCACCCCTGATTGCTGCAAGCTGTGAAACTTCTCCTGTTCTCTCTGCTGTGTTATTCCAGGGCACTAAAGGCTCTGGAGCAGAGTTGTGCTTGCAGCCTCCTGTATTCCCTTGACATTGTTTCTCAAGGAGACCACAGACCTGCTCAGCACGGTGCCTCTCCTCCTTGAGATAGCAGCAGAAGGAGCTGCTGCTGCCATGGCATGGTTCTCCCTTTTGCAATTCATGAGCTGGCTTTGACAACTCTGCTGCAATCACAGGAAATATGCTAAAATATTATAATGGCCCTATCGCCATTGAAGCCATTCTGTCCAACAGCAAAGTTGGATTTCATGAATCAAAAGCAATCAGCTAAACTATTCCAGCTAAATACTTCCTTCCCTTTGATGACAGCACTGGCAGATTCATAAGCCTCCTCTGTTGACCCGACAATAAAGTCAAAGCAATCCCAGTTATCATTTCCAACTCAACTTGCCTTGCCAGTGTGTGCAGTATCAGGAACTTCTTAAGGGATTCTCCTAAATAATGTGAGGGATTGGGGATTAAACCATAACATTTTCTCTCTGCCTTTCTCAGGCTTCACATCCTCAGCAGCAGAGCTGAGATTACAGCTCAAGCTCAGGATGTGGTACCAGACAGCTGACAGCCTTTCTTCATGGACAGATCAGAATTATTGGTGGGGGGGATTTTTCTGGGAAAGCACAACGTGCTACACACATCCTTTACTTGCAGCAAACACACCTGACAGTCACTTCTTATCACTCATCTATCCCATTGTTCAGAGGTTAAGATTGGACATTTGGAGCTTAGACCTCGTGGGAGAAGGGAGAACAAAAGCAGCCCCAAAGTCAGACAAATGATTGATGTCAAAAGAATATTTTCTTATGCTCAGCACACAAAAGAATGATGGCAGAAACCAGGGAGGGTCCTTCTTTCTGCAAAAGCCCTTCTACACATGGCATTTCTGACAAATGCCATAGTTTTGCAATCATTTTTTGAGCAACACCTGAAAAATTAATCAGAAAGTGAACATGTTGCAACATGTGTTTCATCACCAGGACTATTTTATATATATTTCATTAATAATCTTTCTGGCTTCCAAATCACTCCTTAACTGTACAGCTATGTACACCTTCACAGAAATATCTGGGCCTGTTTCTGCAGTCCCTACACAAATAAAATACCCACCCACCTTAATGGGGGCTCTTTTCAGATAAATGTGGCAAGATTGGGCCTTTGGTGCATATGTGCAAGTAACCTGCACACACTTCTTAAAATCATTAAAAAAATATAGTAGCTATAGATTTATAAGCAATCAAAATCTAAACACAGTAACACTGCACTTATTACAGTGAATTTACATTGCTGATTTATATGAAGCAAACAATGGAAAGGAAATGTCTGTGACTCTGCATTTACAGATTAACTGTAAATGCAGTTTTGCTTATCCTTTTGTCTGTCCAAAAGGATTTCTTGCAACTAAAAAGAGGGATTTGCACTATTTCTATCAGCATATGGATGCTTCTCAAGTGCTTTCCCATCTTTTTTGAAGTGCCTTTTACAACGTATCAGACTCCTTTCAGTTGATTTTGTTCACTTCCATCACCACAGTAAAGAAAAATCTCTTACTAAAGAAGGTAACCTTAGCAGAGCAGCAGCAGCAAAGCAAACCTGAAGCCACTACTAGCCCCAAACTCAGGCAGAATAAGGAGTAAGGGCTCTAAGTACCAGCTTCAGTGTCATTACTGTTATCATAAAACTCAATGCACAGCAAGACGGCCAACCTGCAGTGTCACATTGCTCTCTAAATAGCACTTTCATCACAGCACTTCATTGTCAAAGCCCTTTGCACACAAATTTACAGAACACAGCAAAGACAAAGATCTCTTTTGCATATTGAGTCAAGGAAACCATTTCACCTGCAGGTTGATGGGGGTGCTGCCTATTTCACAGGTAGACAATATGAGGGAGTGCTCAATAACACACAGTGTATCTCTAAGACCTAAAACACATCATCACCACAAATAATATATTAAGCTTAAGCACTGGTCCTTCACTTGCCCCTGGCTGGTGTTTCCCAGGTGAGTTCTGACACCTTCATCAAGGATATGGGTTGCTTCTAAGGCAATCAAACCTCAAGAGTGCAGTGTAAATAAAATGCACTCTCACATACCACCCAGGTCACTGCTGGCCAGCAGGGACTTTTGAAGTGGTGACCAGCATGCTTTCACTTTCTTTGTGATCATTTTATCTGTAGTGTGAGCAACTTGCAAAGCTCTCAGCATAGCACAGAGGCTTTTAAAAGAAGCTTTGTGCATTCATGCATTACAAAGTCAAAATCCAAGTCCATATTTGGATTTAAACCCTCTCCCCGCCAGCCCCCCACAAAAATAAAATATCCCTCATACAGAATTTTAAACTTCAAGTCCTTGATCAAAGATCTTGCAATCTACATAAGACAAGACAAGGCAACAGACCTAGTGCTTCAGACTAATAACTTAGACAGGGAAACTCTGTTCATTTAGCTATGCCAGCACAGCTGGAATAGCAAACCTCACCTCCTGTGTCTGCTGTCATGCCAGTATGAAAGAGCAATTACCAGCAGCCTACTACAACAAAATAAACTCCAGCAGCTTCTGGCACCTTTTCTGCTCCAGGATTTTGTCAACTATAGCAGGTGAAAAATTAGGCTTGGCATACCTGGTAGAGCTACACTGATGACATTTAAAGAATACACCACCAGCCCTTTCACTATCCTAATAACATTCTCAATATACAAAAACGCCACATTAAGACATTTGACATTTCAAGATGCATAATTTTAAAATAAGCATCATAATCTAAGCCACAAAATAACTTCTCTGAATTTTGACTTCATTTCCTGACATGAACATATTACAGATACCTGAAAGTGTTAACTCAACCTGTACAACAGTGAATCAACATTCAGATACTTTTACAAAGTCTTTAATAAAAATCAACGAGGAAATGATTTTTTTTCTGTTTTATACTGAACCAAAAAGTCAACTTGTAAAATATAACTATGTAATCCCCTTGCTCTTCATCTCAAGAAAACCTTGTGAAGGAGCTTGTTTCTTCAGCAAGGACTCCAATGTGATGCTGAGATGGTGGCTGTGGGAGGAAGTGCACACATTGCCATGTGTTAGCCAGAAGGAAAGCATCACAGACAGGGAGAAAGGAAGCACAATCAGCAGAGGAGAACAGAAATGCAAGGCGCAAGAAGGAAGAAGAAACAATCTCTAAAACAATATCACAACATGATTCACACAGTTACCTGTTGCTGTGAATGGGAGTTCAACATTCTATTCTATCTTGGTTGAAAAAATTCATAAAGTGATTTTGTTTATTCCTAACACAACTATCTGCTATTTTTGATCAACACTTTGTGACATTACAGAACAAAGATTTTAAGTTATATATCCCCATTAAGCTATAATGCTAAAGAGTATTTTCAAAAATCTAAAGGCCAGAGAACAGAGTGTTCAATAACATCTGGCAATACCCCAAGGTACTCGATTCAGAAACCTATGTAAAGTCATATAATCTATGCTAAAATTCTCCACCTCTGTTTTTCCTCAAAAGTTTGGTGCTTTTCTCCATAGTGAAATGATAACTATATTAATGTGCTCTATTTATCTCTAAATGTATTGTAAATGTGCTTCTTGTCTGACTTGCTTTCCAGGACAGGGTGTACCCTGGGGCACAGGAGTTTTTGCTTCTCCTACACTGTTACGGACCCAACTCTGCTAGCAGGAAAGATGCTGGTGTCCTAGATCTTATGGGATGCAACGCCTTGAGGAACTTTATATCAAACAATTATTGCATAATCTCGGGGTGTAACAAAACCTCCTCCACCATACACAGGCCATCGAGCTCCCGCCACACTCTGGCAGTGTCCCCTGTCAGCTGCAGGTCCCTGTGTGAACCCGCAGGATCCCCTTGCTGTGCATGTGGAGGAAGTTGAATATCTCCGAGGGCATCGCGTGGAAGCCGGGGCGAGGCTTCACATTGTCGTAGTAGTGGTGAGTTATAAAAATCCCTGAGGGGTTCATGGGGAAGGCCCAGAAGCCGAAGAGGTGCACCTCCTCGCAGAGCTCCAGGGCCGCAGTCACCAGGATCAGCCCGGTGCTGACCCGCTTGGCCCGCACGCCCTGGCCGAGCCAGTAGCGCGAGACGTTGATGAGATACTGGGGGTGGAAGTAGTAGACGGCCTGCTGCGACTCGAAGTCGTCTAGCACGTACTTGACGCGGATGGACACGTCCGTGTTGCGCGTGTTGTAGAAGGCCGGCAGCAGCACGGAGGCGTTCTCGTACACCTGCAGCACCTCGTAGAAGGGCTTCCTCCACTTCTCCAGCTTGTGGAATCTGCAGGGGAGAGGGTGGGAGCGATTGCCACGGTTTGACGCTGGCACAAAGCCAGCGCCCCCCATGAAAATACATTCTTTCTGGTTTCTGCTGTGAGATGTGAGCAGGAATAAGCAAAGCAGGCCCCTACTTAGAAACAACGAAAACTTTATTAACTAAACTACAACTATGTGTAAAAAGAAACACACAGGGAAAAATTAAAACCTTCTAAAACATTTCCTCCTCCGCCCACCAAATTTCTAATACATCTATTTCTTAAATTACCAACTCCGTCCGTCATTACTGTTTAGATAATCAATTCTCAGTTCATCAAGAGGAGAGGAGTCCCTCTTGTGCCATAGGCTTCCTGAGGAAACACTGTTGAAAATCTGAACATCTATTGGCTTTACCACTTCATATCCCAGAAAACTTACTTCTTCTCAAACCATGGCAGTGATGGTCGGCACATTCCCAGCAAGAAACCCCCCCGCAATGGGCTTTTTCTGAAATATTTCTGGCACAGGGATAATTGAGATGATCCTTCCCATTGATAGCTTCCCGTTATCAACGGGAATGTACTTGGATTTGTAGCTACAGCATCAGTATGAAATGTAGGGTAGAAATTACATACTTCTAAAAAAGTATAAAAAATATAACTTTTTAAAATTTGTTTTTAAAAATTAAAAAAAATTGTAAAATTAAAAATAAATCATAATAACTTCATAATAACATCACAATAACTTCTTAACCTTGTGGCCATTTCTGATGGTGTCTCGCTTCCCATGGTATTATTAGAAGTACGTAATTTTTCCAAGCTACGTGGTGCACTGTAGAAGGATTCTTAGCAGAACAAGGCCATGCTGTGCTCCTCCATGGACAACCCTGGCCTTCAGATTACAGAGTTACTTTGAAGACCATGTGCTGTCTTCAGGAAAAGATAGACCATGAACTGTCCTCGGAACAAGACAGACCATGTACTGACCTCGAATGGATCCAACAAGGAAGAATGAGCATTGTGCCAAGATGTACTAGATGCCAAGCACGTTGTGGGAAAATCTTAATTTGGCACACCTTAACTAAAGATGCTTATAGGTGTGACAACCAATCATTAATTAACATGTATGTGTAACTATAGTTGCTTAACCAATGAGCATCAAGCACTAGTGGTGTGAGACAATGTATAGAGAAGAATAAATATGCCAAAGTTGGTGAATAAAGGAGAATGACAGGTAGCCACATTGGTGTGATGGTTGTTACTCAGCCAACTCTCCTGTCGAGGACCCTCCTCAGTGCACCCTGCAGTGCAGGGCTGTATAAAAAAGGGGCCAATACCAAAGCTAGCAAGTGCTTAAAATGTCTTACTGTAACATTTTTAAAAGAAATCCAAAGTCAAACAAATTATTTTATGTTGCTTGAGGAAAGAAAAACATCCCCCTCCTTTGAGAAAGGAAAGCAGTAATGAGCCTTATGGTCCCAAAAATGTCACTAGGTAAGCATTAGGGCATTTACAAATTTAAAATTAAAATCACCTAGTCAGTCCTGTCTACAGTAAAGTTTCACTGGCATTTCTTTAAAACATGTGACACTGTGTTACTTTATTTACTTGATGATCTTAATTTCCCAAAGTTGATGACTCTGATTCCGTGACTTCAGCATTTCAGGTGGGATCCAGTTTCTTTCACCCTGAATGTTTCTAAGATGTTTGACTGGGGCTTGCAAGCAGAGCAGGGGAAGGATGGCTCTGTTGTTTTAATTTAATTTTAGCTCATTGCCTTTCCATTTTCTATTGTCAAAGTGCAGGTTTAAGTGTTTAACACATTTCTACAACTTGTTATTTATTCAAGTCAGAATGAAATGTATGATTCATAGTGATGGCATAAAGTAGGATTTGGTAAAAAATTCTGTGTAACAGAATTATATTTAAGGTAGATTTGGGAAATCAAGAAAAATGAAAATACAAAAAAACCAGAAATAACCTCTCAGTGATTATACTGGGATTGACAGTCACGACATCTGTCTTCACCCCAACGTCCATGAAGTATTTCTCAGATATAGGAGGCAAATTGCATCTATGAAAAAGAGAAATCAGTAAGAAAGTTTAAAAATTTATTTCACCTTTTCAGGACTAGTAAATAAAATTTATTTAAGCATTTCTGCCAAGCAACAAATCTAGAAGCAGAGTGAGAATTTAAAATTGTATCTAAACAGGTTGATGCCCAAACTGTGCAATAATCTAACAAGTTCTTGAGGCCTGTGTGAGGACTTTTCTTGTTCCCTCACCTGAGAGAGATGAGTCCTCTTTGCAGGTGTAGCCAAGGCTCATTTTGCCTCCTTAACAGCAATTTACCTATTTACTCCTGCAGTTTAGGATGCAAAATGAATTGAAGCTCCAAGGCCAATCAGCCTATAAAATCAAAGGCTTGCTGAGCAGTAGCTGAGATGCATTCAATAATTAATAAACTATATCTAAAACACTGCCTTTAAGATGCTTCAGTTTATACCCAGGAGAATTTAGGGGAAATGTTCCACAAGAGAGAAATCAATCCAGACCTAATTAATCCCAAACTATCTGCTTCACTTCCTTTTCCATTTAAAAGCATCTCCCAACATGGTTTAATAGCAGCAATTCTGACTCTACAAGTTCACCATAGGACATCAAAGTTATTGGAAGCAAACTTGTGAGATTTGCAAGCCTTGACTTTGCCCAGCCTCCATTCACCTTGGCCTTGTCCTAGATACATCATCTCACAAAATTTAGAGTATCTCTCAAGAGATGCTGAAGTTACTGAAATGCACACTCACAAATTATCACGCTGTCTTTCCTTCCAAAGGAAATACAGCTGAAAAAAAACCTTCAGCATGTGTTTTCAGGGATAAAATGTGTGGTCTGGCAACTGGTTTTACACTCAGTTTAAGCTAGAGTTAGGCACTAAGTAACACTTTGAAAGCTTTTTGAAGTGACCTGCAAGCCTCAATTAAAACCATCACTGTTAAGGCCCCCCACATCTCAAAAATACTGCTGTGCCTAATTCTCAAAGTTGTCCTTATTTCTGAAGAACAGGGCTGAGCAAAAACTGTGATGGGATTTAGGGTAAGAGATGCTTACTGTTTTCACAATACCACAGTTCAGCTGACAGGATAATTTTTCAGTCAAAGAGAGAGGACAGCTTGGGGAGCAGAAGAATGCACAAAATTCCTCCAAAGTCCTTCTAACACAAAAGGTTCACATCCACCTTACAGATAGTCCATCTTCATCTGGCCAGAGAATTGGTTTTGGCTATCCTTTTCACAGACAATGCCATTTCTAGGACTTCCTTCTGCTGGGTCATGCCACCCAAGTCCTTGGGCACCCCCAGTACCATCTAGCATTGGGCACTGTGCTTATTAGATAATACTTGAGGAAGGTTTTCATATAATCAGCTTCAATGTTTCTGAACAGGAAATTCACACCAGGATTAAGAGTGACTGAATTTTTTGAAGGTGATAATGCCTTATAAAAACGGTCCCATCTGCACAAACTGTATTTTGTCACAAGACTCCAAAAACTCATCCCCACCAAGAGCAGTCCCATCTCTAAATTCACAGAGGTCCCGTCTGGCCAGTAGATGGAGACAGACAATAACTACTGGTATATGCAACTCTGGTGTGTATTTGATATACTCTATTGTAGTATAACTGATTGCTTTCAGAATTTACTTCACAGAACAATCCTGGCTGCATGCGGCTGGCCACAAGAAAAGATTTCCCCAAGTGTCCTGAAGGTACTGCTGAATGTAATCAGGGCTCCATAAACACTTGTGAAATGTTTTATAAAATTTTACTGGTGGCCAAGATGATGATTCCTGATAGTTTGGTGGAGTGGTGACTGGAAAGCAGATATGTTCAGACCTGATCTTGAACACAAGCTTTACTTTAAAACTGACCTTGAGTTTTAAAACACTGGCACATCTTTTTGCATAATCCACAATTTGGAGATGGTGAACCAGGGGTTTCTTTGGCACTGATATATTTATTCATATTCCGGTTCTGACTAAACTTCCATTTAATTGTTACAGTTACCAAACGCAACCCAGTTTCTAAGTTCTGTAATAATCTCCTCTTTTTTTCACCAGTTTTGGTACCATCCAAGGAAGAGCAGCAGTGGTAGAACAGGACCTCTACTAAAAGTCCTTAATCATAAATGAGATTTGCCAGACACATTTCAGCTTCTGCTTGCCATCTCCGTGTGTCACATGGGCTGCTCCTTTCATCCAGACTTGCGGTTGTGATCCAGCACAACAGCAGTGAATCTACAGTAATTATTTAATGCATATGGAATACACTAAGCTTTTAAGAAAGAAGTTATGTGGAGCCTAGACTTTCTCACAGACTTTTTTTTCATTGAAAACTAAGATAATAATTTTCTGTAAAGTTGCAATAGGAGGCACAGGAGTCTGAAAATAATGAATCCTGAATGTAAAATTTTCTCATATGATGTCAAATTGAATTAAGACTGCACTGAACCAAAATCTGATCTAATTTTTGCTGGTGTGAAGTCAGAGAAATTAATTACTTTATGCATGGTTATTCTATACTGACAACAACATACCCAAGATCAGAAAATAGGCCAACTGAAATAAAGAGATTTTTCTTTTCTAGAGAGCAAGTCATGAATCTGTGAGCTAGCGGTCATATGCCATGACCCAGGCAAAGAGCTTAACAGGATTTAGAGAGGGATTAGTCATGCATATGAATAACAAAAAAAAATCTTTCTCATATATATTAAGGATTATAAAATTGCTGCTAGACTCTCTTATCCAGGGACACTCATCGTGGGACATCCCAGTTTATGCAAAACCTGGGTAATTCCACATTTAGTGAGGAGCAGTGAAGACACTTAACCTTTAAAGTTATTCTGGTGACTTTGGAAGCCCTGGATAGATTATTGATTACAATAAATCCTGTTATTGAGCACCTGAGCTCTGCACCTGTCCAGAAACACACCTCTGAGGCACATCAGCAGTGAGCTATTAACATCTGACCAAGCTGCTTGGCACTCAATAGAGGCTGTACCTCTGGCTCAGATCTGCTCCAGAAAATTATGCCCAGGTTCATAGGACACTGCTTATAGGGTAATATCCATAGAAGGATAAATCCGTAACCTCAGTGGCAGGGAGAGAGCATCAGACTTGGCCAATAAGTCAGTGATTAACCCCACGGAGTTTGGGAGAAGTAATTCCTCAAAGCTTAATAAAAAAAAATATTATAAAGAATGATGTTTTGGGGTGGTTTTTTGTTGCTGTTGTTTTGTTTTTTTTTTTTTTTTTTGAAAACCAGCTTTTTGTGCAAGAAGTAGGCTTGACACAGCCAATTTAGCAAATGTCATGTTTCCATGCGAGAGAGAATAGCTTCTCAACGTTCCATTTGTCATTGGAAAAGGCAAAAAAAAAAGAGGAAAATGGATCTGTGGTGGTTACCGAAACACGAAGTCTGCACTGTCAATCTCCCGGCCACATCTGCTGTTCTTCAGAATTCCTCCATTCCCAACCACTGCACACCTCTTGAACTGGGAGCGGTGGTACGGCATGTCCTGCAGCAGCACGGCAAGGAAACAGTTAAAGACCCCAAAACATGGACACAACAACGCCCTTTTTCACTTCTTCCGTTGTTTTTTTTTTTTCCTCTGCAGCTGCACCTTGCTGCATTAACCACAGGATGTTGACACTGGTTCTGGGGTGCAATATTCCCTCCACACAAAGCAATGTGTATTTTGCTGTGCAGTTAGAGATGGCACAGGCAACAAACCCAAATAACCTATTATTTTTCCCCAGGTTCAATAACATAAGGAATAATTTCAGACATTTGCTTTCCCCTTTGATTTCCACGTGAGGGCACAAACCATGAATTAATGTAGCTCAGGCACTGTTTTCTGGGCTGCCTGCAAACTGCTGGTTCCTGAGGTTCTGGTGTCCTGCTTTTGGGAAGTCTGCACACAGAGCTCCAGGGCAGCCAGTAAAACCCAAGAAGTCTGTCAGACAGCATGTCACAGAAAGCAGACCAAATTTTGCTGCTTACCAACTCTAATTGTACTAATAGTATTAATGATTATTAATTAGTATTTGCAATACCAGCACTGCCTTTGGTTAGTCACCTTTATGGACTCGTGGATGATGCAATCCACAATTTTCTCCTGCAATCTTTGGGAAAAATCCTGCCTTCACACACAGAGATGCAGCTGCTGCTGGAGCCAGAGAGTGAAAATCACATCCTGAGAACAAACTGGGCTGTTAGGGTGAGAGGGCTGTGACGAAGAACTGAGCCATGCTACACCTTATGAATATGTAGGGATGTGCTTACATAAGCATGAGAGTGCTCGTTTTTGGCACATACATATTTTATCAATAATCTCACGCTGCAAACTACAGAAGGATGCAAAAGTGGCTTGACATTTCTGGGTGATTATTCCCAGGATCTTTCCACGGCATCCATAAGCCACGAGGCAAAAAGGGCATGCAATTACACCTGTCTGAGAAAAGCAGCAGCTGTCTGACAGAGAGGAAGTATGGAGCTGTCTGTGCTTTATGCAGTGATTTCTTAACACACAGTCCCTTGGCAGCCCTGGAAGGGAAATCAGAAGCCAGGTGTCCATGCTTAGCACAAGGCTCTTGCTCCTGCAGCATTGCTTCTGTGTTTTCAGCCCTTTATTTCCTACATGTGAGAGGCTACAGCCTGTGCAGAGGGTGGCTTTGGTCACTGCCCAGTGACTCCCAAAGGCATTTTGGCATGCAATGATACCTTCACAGCATCCTGATCGTCCAGGACAAACCTAGCAGATCTCAGGTGTGTTCAGACTTTGATGCACTCATCTGCCTAATCAAGCAGGGTTCTGAGGATAACAGTCCTGGATTTAGATGTACCCATTCCGTTGCACGTCTCCAGATGCCAAAGTGCTTTCCTGGATCCCAGCCTTTCCCTGCTTCTGCCCCAGCTCCCCACGTGCCCATTCAGATAACAGCACTTCCCTTCCTCTCAGCAGTGCTCAGAAAGCCAAAGGATTAGATGTGGTGTGACCCTGAAGGACAGGTTCAATGGCACAAATTCTAAGTACTTAACCTGAATATTGGTGTCTGGCTTTTCAAAATGGATCAATTTCAGCCACCCCCTCCAAGTATTCTGTGTAAATTGAAGGGGGGAGCCCTGTGATAAATCTGCAGCCACATCAGCCCATTCCTGCTCATCAGTCACTCTGTGCAGAGGGAATTACCCACTGATTATAACCTTGAACACCCCTGGAGGTCAAGTGTTATTTGCTGGAAAGGCTTTGAATAATAATTATGATGAATACATTTAAAAATTATGAAGCCTGTTCACAGATAATCTGCGAACGGAAATAAGTATAAAAATAATCATTGTGAATATGAATTATAAAATAATCATGCCAAAAAGAAAATCAGATCTACCCTCAAATGTTGGATTTACTATATATGAATATTATACTTTGAAAGAGTTCTGATAAATCAGTGTCTCTTTTATTTAGCTTTCTTATTTCATTATCCACTTTGCTCCTAAGTCAGCAATATTCTGCAGGAAATTACATATATATGTATGTCTATGTCTATATCTATGTCTATATCTATATCTATATCTATATCTATATATATCTATATCTCTATATCTATATCATCTATATCTATATCTATAGCTCATATATATATACATACACATATACATACATATATATATATATATATATGGATGGATGTGTATGTGTATATTTTGCAGATGACACCAGAAAACAGAATAATCACCTAAAATATCATATTAAAACATAAAGATTTTCATATCAAATATAAGCAGTGAATGAATTCTGCAGAAATGTCAAACAAGTGCTAAATGCTTGGCTATGGGATAGTGCCTAATGCAGCAAGTACAGTGAAGATGATCCTGCAAGTGGGCAGAGACACCTTTGGAAACATTTTGAAGATTTCTTGGTTGATGTGAAAGATTCCACTCGTGTCCACTTCATATTTCAGTTTAGTTCCCAAGGGAGTATTTTTCTGGGTGGTGAACAGAAAGGATGGGGCGTTGCAACACCTTGACAGAGTAGACCTGTGAAAAGAAAAAGAAATAAGAACAAGGAGATGATGGCATGACACAGGATTTGCAATTACTGTTGCTCCTAACAAGGTATTTTTCACCAAAAAAAAGTTTTTTAGCTCTTGGATGGGTAAAATGGTGGTTTGCTGGATTTTCACTCAGAAAACTTCAGATTGGGTGAAATTTTCTTTGGTTGAGAAAACTGTGGCAAAACAAAAAGAAAAGAGAATAAATTAGATACCTACACTTGTCTCTTCTAGGGGAAGATGGAAAATCACGTGGAAATTCATGGGAATTGCACATGGGAAACTCATGTGCAGATTCTGCCCTGCTCTAGCCCCAAAGAGGAGCTTCTGCCTCCCATATCCTGGCAAAACCACATCAGTGAATTAGTCTCTCTCTGCTTTAGACATCTTCACCATTTTATGAATTATATACTCATCACTGGGCAGGAAATGTAGGGGTTCAAGAGTTCCTCTGGAGACATGGAAATGTGGCAGGGCAGTATTTAAACACATCAATACCCAAAGACACTGCCCCACCTGACAGACTGCTGTGGAGCACAGCACACTTTGGCTGCAACAAAAAAAAACCTCAAAAATTTTAATTTTGCCCTTGGCCTTGCACATGTGTGCATCAGGAAGGTGATGTGGCCCCGAGAGTTTGGTGGCAGCCAAACTGGTCATGCCTAAAAATCCAAAATCTCAGACTAATGACCAAAAATTTTTTTTTTCATGAAATCCCAAACATGGGACTCAGAGTGAGAGAGAAAAAACATTCAGTCTGACCCCTTTGCTGTGTTTCGCATTGTAGAAACCCAAAACACCCAAAATATTTCTCTGTCTATTCTAAAGTGTCCTAACCCCCAAGGCAGCACTAACTTTAACCCTCATTTATAGAAAAAGTTTCCTGGACTTCAAAATAGACTAAAATCCACAAAAGTGTAAAATAAATTATAGAAAGTGGTGTATCACTTAGTAAAAAATTTAAGTTTTAAAATTTTTAGTACGTTGTAGACGGAAGCAAAATAAAAAACACAAAGTGTCGTCCTAAGTGTCTTCATGCTTCTTCCTTCTTCTTCATAAGTAACATTTTGTAATTAGACAAAAAAATTCACATAACAACCTTTTTAGAATCAGTTATTAAGTTATAAGAAAAAAATAATCTAAGTGTAAATTCTTAATTAAATATTTAGTCTTAAAAAACCTTGTAACAAAAGATCATTAACCATTTTCTGCCTTCTAATGATAAGCTGCTAAACTCACAGTAATGAAACTGTTTTATAATAAAAAATAATAAACACTTAAATCCAAACATAAACTACCATCTCAAATACCTTCAATCCAAACCCAAAAGAAACCTACAACCAATACCCCAAAAATGAAACACCCTCCCACACATGAAATGTAGATAGGAAAAGTAGCTTTGTGAATAAGATTCCCTTTCCCCATCCTGCCCTGGATGCTTTTCCTCTTTCACTGGTGGCACTGGAAGCCCTGGCTTCTGCTCACCCTTATTCCAGAGAGGGTTTATTTCCCAGTCAATGTTTGATACCTTCAGTGAAAAATCCATGTCATGGCAAATGCACGAGCATGAAGGCAAAGCCAGATGGCTCTCAAATAACCCAGATTAAATGCCTTGCCTCTGGGGTGCGTGGCCTCATATTCTCAGTTGGAAGAATAAGCCTGTCCTCTTTATGGGCTTTATTACAAGCACCAGAAACCAAATAGAGAATTATGCAAACATTTCAGCGATGTCCAATTACTCTCATATACTTGACTCATGCAGGATGGCACAAAATGACCATCAGATCAAGGCAGCAAATGAGACTGAAAAAGTCAATGAATAATGTCCAACAGCAAAAACAATTACAAACAGATTCAAGGAATTGAATTGTTATAGTTTGGATATGAGAAAAACCTCTTCATTGGCTGCTCCTTAAGGAATTGAAAGAGATGTTTTTCCTTAATGTCCAGCTGGTTTTCCAGAGGCACAGAGGCACAGAAGATTCTCAAGGAAACTGTTTTCCTTAGTTTCTACATACAAACCTTATTGTGATTTTTGCCCTTCATCCCTCTCTGCTGCTCAAGCAGCTGCCATTTAAATCTGCTGGATTCTCCCCATCCACATGATGGGACTGGACTGGCAAAGCGCAAAATCCCACAGCTATGAGGGTTACACATTTCATCCTCCTCCTAAACAAACTCAGAGACCTTGGTTTGCTGTTAAGGGACAGCAGCTTCCCCACAACCCCACACACTGATGTCTCTGCCCCACTGAACACAGATGAAACAGGCTTTACACATTTTCTTCTTTTTAATTACAAGCACTACTGTTGCTCCTGAGACCAGCTGACAGAGATTATGTTTGCGTCTGGGTGCCAGTGAGGGTTCCTGGAGCAGTGATATATCAGTCAGGCAGGTAGAAGCAGTGACAGGAGTCGTTCATCTCTGTTTTCTCTCAGTGCACAGGGTGGAGAGGGGTTCTTTGTTCAATGTGCTGGTGTTGGTGGCCTGAGATAGACTGATGGTCCTCCTGGTGGTCTTTGGAAACTCCTTTCTCATTGCTCCCACCTCTGCTCTGGCCTCCACAGCTCAAAGGGCCTCTTTCCATACCTCCAAGTGCTGCTTTCTCTCTGGGCACAATCATTACTCCTCTCACTCCAGCTGTTTTTAAAATAATGAGCTGCAATCCTGAATTACTCACCTCTTCAAAACGGGCCCTGATAATTGCCTACCAAGTAATTTCCAGGAAAAATGCAGGGGGAAAAAATACCAAACAAAAACCAAACACCTAAAAAAACTTAGGTGTGGAGATCACATTGGAGAAACTGCTATGAGTCTGAGACTAACAATGTTATTTTTAAAGATGTCAATGACTAACTCAGCACATGCATTCTCACACTCTCTCATTAACTCCTGACAGCTATTTCCTGGAATCATGCAAGAGAATTTGGGATAAAGCTGGGAGCCTTATTACAAACAACGTCTCTGGATTGTACCAGTGACTTGCAGACTCCAGTCTACAGCACTTACCCTGAAATAGTTTGTTTTCTCAAAATCTGCTCAAATATGGCACTGGAATATATCAATATATAACATTCAAAAACTGGTTTGGCTTCAATCCACTGCTGCCTTCACAAGGCCAGTTCCAAAAGCTGTGTCTTGAGAGGGTCATGGAGCAGAGAAGTTACATGAAGAAAGACAGAGCACTACAGAAATTAACTGAGAGGTCTCTGAAGACCAGAAAAAAATATGTAGATAATCTGTGAGTAAGAGCTGAGAAGCCATTACCAAAAAAAAGCAAACAACCAGAGAAAGTCATAACCAAGGTCTGACAGTACCTAAAACACCCAGAAGAAATCAAGTATTTTGAGTATTTTGTAGGCCAAATGTGCAGTATCACCAGTGGTATTACCATTCCAAGCCAGAGAGTTAGGCTGATGTGTTAGGGGCAGCCATTAAATCTCACCTCCATCCCCACTGCTGCCCAAATAACATCTGGAAGTCTTTCCCACACCAAATTCCTTGCCTTTCCTGGAAGACTGTTCCATATGTCAGATATCTTATTGCTGAGTTGTTTTTTATAAAGCAGGGGGAAAGTCCACATTTATTCAAAAGGATGGTATTCCAAATGTTGTCATGCTTACTCTTGGTAACCATGTGAAATTCTGATCTCTGCAAGAAGCTAAACTCAAACTAAAGTAAATTTTACTCAGTCTCATTAATGTGAGACATTCTTACTTGAATAAATTGGCTTCTGTGACATTCATCTCCCATTTGCACATCTGTAGGCTCTTCCATCTGTCAAACAATTCAGTTTGTTTCACCCTAAAATATATTAAAAAAGAAAAATTAAGTTTATTACAAGGGCTTAATTTCCTAAAACAGCTGCAGATGAAGAATACCATACAAATTGATGGGACAAATCAGCCAGTCTCAACAGTACAAAATTTATAATTTTTCTTCCTTTTTCTGCTCAGACATAGCCACTCCAAGCCCAGTGAATGCAAGAACTGATGTTTGGTACTGATTTCTTCTCCCTGATAGGCTTTGACTGTTTTTTTCAGGATAAAAAATTGCAATATTGAGCAAGAAGCAGCTGCTCTACCAAAATCTGCTGGGAAGCAAATGAGTTTCAATCAGCTGGATTTTGGGGAAAAGGTGCACCCAGCAGAAGGGCCCAGGATGGGGTATTGGAAAAAGGGATTAATTTGTCCAACTAAAGCTGCATTTTGGTGAGGTTAACTTGATCTGTGACATCCTACAGCACAACACTGTGGGTAAATTTATTTTATGAACAATTTATAAGCTCACATGTAGGGATAAGAGTCTGTGATGGTAAGGGGAAATGAAAAGCTCTTTACATAAGGATCTCTACCTCCTCCTCTGCTAATCAGTACACCTGTAGTCACATTAAAAAAAAAAAAAAAAAAAAAATCCTCACTTTTATTTCAACTAGGCTGATAGAGGATGACTCATTTTTTGATGATATCACCAATTCCAAGAAGTTCCTCACTGAAGTTCGCACATATTCTGGTGCGTTTGGACAACAGAGATAATGAAGGCATTGCAAATATCTGGAGGTAGGAAGCAACTGTATAATCTGGCTAAGAAATTTGGAAGCCTGTGATTTCTGCTAGATTGATAGGTCTTAATGAGTTCTTTTCAGGCTTGAGGGCTTTTAATGTTTGAATAAAGCATAGACTTTTAAGATAATTATATATTTAATGTGAGCAGAACCGAGCATTTCCCAGGCTGAGGAAGTTGCAGGAAGGAATTAGGTCATATTGTACTTGCTGTAGCCCACCAGAGCACATTAACTTGGAAATCTTCCATTACCATAAGGGCTGACTTGGGAAACATAGCACATTTGAATCAAGAACATCAGAAGAGACCAGCAGAGTAGAAGAGTTTAATGTCAAACAGCATCTACTGTAGAATTTAGGGTAACTCGTATCTGGCTGAGCAGGAACCCACTACCTTCTTTGGGCCACTGGGTAAGATGAAGAAAAATGAGGAATTCTCTGTGCAGGCAAAAAGAAAAAAGGCGAATCAGAGCTCCTGATCTTCCGCAGAACATTGGGGAAGTGTGACATTCTCACCCCTCCTTTTTATTTTTAAGCGCTGCGAGTCAGCAAGCCGTGCAAAGTGTGTTTCTCGTGTACCCTTCATCCAGCGCAGGAGGCAAGGACATAACCTACATTCTGCTGTGCACAGAGTCAGACAGGCAGGCGTGCTCAGATTCGTGCAGACCTGGAGCAACAATTTCTTTATTTTCTGTAGCCCTGGCTGCTCAATGTTATGCATGTGTGGAGCTGCTTTTTGAAATGACATTCCCAGGGCAATTTTCAGACCCTGCGCATTGCCTGCTACATTAATAAACCATTGGCTTCAGTTGTGGTGAGGGAGTAGGCATAATCTAATCACCTAAACTCAGTGAAATGCTGAAAAATGCAAAAAGGCAACACTAAAATCACCCAGCTGTGCACTGTCATACTGGCAAACTCACTTTTTTCACCCAGTTCCCTTGCTGTAGCTTGACATAAACATCTCATTCAACTCATTGGTTTCCTGACATACTTATTGGACCAAAAACCACAATTTAGAGGTATTTTATTGTTTCCCAGAATCATATTTTCTTACCTTTTCACTGAGGTGTTTTGAGTTGTGAAACTCTCTGCTGTTTGAAAAGGTCAGAAACACAAATGGGCTCAGAAAATATCTAAACAAATTAATAGAAAGGTCTATTGTCCACTCTGATTACTCCACTCTGGACTCCTTCTACCAGTCCACAAGCCCCCATGCCAGTATTTATTATCAGGAAGGGCTGAACATTTTCTTCCTTTTTCAGCCTTCACTACTGGCCACTGTCAATGAAACAGCCTTAAGCTAGACACTTGCATGAGTCAGTCTGGCTGTTCTTACCCTTCAATTATGGAAATATTATATTACAAACACTGTATTGAATTCCCAACAATAATTCTGGGCCTGACCAAAATGCCTCAATGTATGGGGAAAGCTTCCATGTTCTGTAAATGGAGCTCAGATCAAATTCGAACACTGCATGCACAGGTAAGAGAAGGCTAGAGATCCCTTCTGAGATCCCTGTTGATGTCACCTCTTGAGCCTTTTGGCAGTGTCATTGTAAGATACCATTCCATCCTGCCCCAGAAGTAACACTTTTAGCAATGCTTTCATTGCTAAGTACCTCTACTTTTTGCATTTAGCTCATACTTACATAGACAAGACCTTCACCTCAATGATGTCCTGCCTTAATTCCAGGCATTTTGTAGAGTTGTACTCCAAAGGCCCTTCATAAAACTCAAAATACCTGGGGAAGGACAAGAAAAGATATCATAAATAAGGTATAGGCTAGAATAATTCTCTGGCACATCAACAGAATTTTGCTGAAAGTTATAATTTATGATTTTTTCCTAACTTGAGGCTGCACTGCCTGGCCCCTAGGCAGCTTGTTCCTTCGCAGGAAAGCACAGATGTCCCTGCTGGTCCTGGAACAATCTCCCATGCCCAGTTTGTCCATTCCTACAGGAGGTCATCTATCCTGAGGCAACAACAAGGACCAACTACCATTTCCAGCAGTCAGCACTTGGAGCTGGAACTGAAAGCCGGGGCAAAAGCACCGATCATTTAAGGGACACTGTTCCCACCTTTGGGGTGCCTGACTGTGCTGGGTTGGAAAAAACAGTACCCTAAAAGTGCTAGAGATGGTATTCCATCTGTGGAGGCTATTCCATAGCTCCTGAGCAACTGAGCTTTTCACTGGGATTTACTGTCTTGGTCTATTTGGAAGTGAGTGGAAACAGGGATTATATTCTAGAAAAAAAAATCTGAGAACAAAAGGATTTGAATGCTCAGACACAGCAGAAATAAGAGTGATATTCTTGATTAAAATATAGAGAGAAATATTTACTTTATTGGCTAATTTCTTTACCTTAATCACTGGGCTGAAGGGGAAGAAAACCACAATGGTAGCTACTCATGCTAGGGAAAAGAAAAAGCCCAGGCTGGCTCAAGTGAACTCAATGAGTCTGCATTGAAATGACAAACAAGATGTTGGGTTTAAACCAAGCTCTGCATTAGTTTCACTCCTAATCATTACAAGTCTGTATTAAAACCTAATGCCTAAGACTTGCACAAAGCCATGAAACACTTGAGAGGATAATGAAAAACTGAGAGAAGGTGACCTGAGGAAGAGGTATTATGAACAAGACTAGGGAAAGCTCTTTTGAGGGATCGTTTAAAATCCTGGTATTCATGAGATTGTAACTCCAAGAACTCAATTTTTGAATCTTCAATGAGAAATATAAGATAAGATTTGTGGAAAAGCTTCATTCAATCCATCATTGGAAAGGAAATATTCGAGGTTTGTGTCATTGCAAAATAGTATCAAAATTCGTGTTTGACCCGTGTGTAACTGGAAAAAGTCCAAGAGACTCCCAAAGCAATTTGCTTTCAACAGGGAATATTTCTGTCCTTCTGTCAAGTGCTGCTTTAGAAAAATGTCTCCTTCACCTCTCCCTGAGGTTTTCACCATCTCAGCTTTGTCAAACCCCAAACCAAACATTTCTGTGATCCAGTGAGAGGAACAAACCTTGAGACTGAAAGGAGGAAGCCCATGCTTAAAAGGTGGCAGGAGAACAAAAAAAAATCCTAATAAAGAAGAACCCAATAGCTCATCCTCAAAAAATGTGGCAATTTGTAAATGTGTTTGTATAGACTTCAAGGCAACAAATATGTACTTTTTATAAGTTTTGTAGAAGAAAATATGCAATTAAAGGACTCCAAGATCAGTAAGAACTCTATGAAAAGACTGTTGAAGGGAGACCTAACATGAATCTTCATCTCACCAAAAGGCTCACACTCTCCTTCCAGCTGAATTATTCACCTGGATGTGACAGTGTTCACAGGGGCTCTTGGATGGGACAAGAGATGAGGATGTTTACTCCATGTTCAGAAGGCTTGATTTATTATTTTAATATATATATATCTATATATATATATATAACATTATAACTATACTAAAAAGAATAGAAGGAAAGGTTTCCTCTCAGAAGGCTAGCTAAGCATAGAAAAAAAACGAATGATAACAAAAGGCAGCTCTCTCTGTCCGAGATAGCTCAGCCCTTGATTGGCCATTAATTATAAACATCCAAGATGGGCCAATCACAGATGAACCTGTTGCATTCTACAGCAGCAGATAACCATTGTTTACATTTTGTTGCTGAAACTTCTCAGCTTCAGCAGGAAAAACCCTAAGAAAGGATTTTCACAAAAAGATGTCTGCGAGACCTGGGCATTCAGCATTTGCTAAGGAGAGGCTGAGATCCACTGCCCTGGCACATCTCCCGTGGGCTTGTCTTGTTGAGCTGGAGCTGAAAAACTTGTGGAAGAGGCTTCAACTGGGTGTACTCAAGGTAACCTCCCCAAACTAAACCAAAATCTCTCTTTAGACAGCACCATAGAATTTCTTACAGTTCACAGAAAATTCACAGAATGTTCCAGGGCTGGAGTACCCTCTGGCTCCCAGTACAGACAACATTTTAATCCTCTGAAATAATCGTTTTTCTGACTGTCTTGTTCAGAATCAATCCTTTTCTTTGGCTCTTTGAGTAAGGCAATGCTGGCACCCTGGATGTGCACGTTCTACACAGTGACAAGGGGCAGATACACACCCCCACACAACATTCAGCACCTTACACACCCCTCCTGCTTCTCAGGGTGTGCAGGAGCGAGCAATCCTATCAGCCTCATCCTCACCTGCCTCCTAACACTTCATTTCAGTGCCTTGAATGTGCCTCAGGACAGATAAGCAGAGCAAAAATCTAGATTAACATTTATTTTTATCTTTCCTGCGCACTTCTGGCTGCGCTGCTAGGTTAGAGAGCAGCAGCTCAGATGTTGAACAGCACATGCACTCACGTGGGAGCACCACAGCACAGGAAAGCTGCCTTCAGCCTGTGGCATTGGAGTCAAAGATGTCATTTTATGGAATGGAGATGAAATTTCCTGTGTCCCAGCCATTCCCTTTGATCGTTGCCTGTTTACTCAATCCACAAACCAAAAATAGAAATGAAAAAGGATGTGTTACCACAGCAGCAGAAGGTTAAGAAGGAAAGGATTCGGTCAAAAATAAACCACTTCTGGATCTGAAAGGAAATCAATCCATGAGGCAACACTGCGTTTCCAGCAGAGCTATTCCATGAGCCTATAGATTGAAAAAGCACAGTCCTGCAAATCTCTACTCTCACAACAGCTCCAGCTTTCCCAACAGAGCCACTGGCAGCACTGAATTCACCATTTAGCACCCCATGGAAGGGCAGAGGGAGGATCCATGGGACGGGCTGTATGACACATTGCTGATGGGACACGTGCAGCAAAGGCAGGGGACAACAATGGCAATGTCATTCAGCACAGAGAGGGGAGAAAATGCTGCTGGCCATGGGGTCAGTTTGGCTGAAGTGAGCTCAGTGATGCCAAGCTATTGAATAAACACCCTTTGGGCTGTCCTTTCTCAGCCTGGACCTCTCTGGAGCAGACAGACTGCCACTGAACCCTCCTGAGTTGAAATGCTGTGGATGCTTCTGCACATCGGCTGCACATAATAATGGTGCGGCAACAGCATTGGGAATTTTTCAAGACAGTGGCTGGTCAATAGACTCAGGGAAAAAAAGAGTTTCTCTCTTTCTCCCAGGAGTATTCATGCTTTTTATCTGCTTCACAGCGATTCCTCCTGCTGCAGATATTACAGGATATTAGCAGAGGCTGTTCCCCGGGGCACTGGACAACCTCTCCCCACAGAAGTGCTTCACATTGTGCTTTCCTAGAGAGCAGCTTTTGCACAACACCTGGCCCTAGCACAAGGGCCATGGGTTCCCTCAGCTCCAGAGATGTCCTTTAAACCCACATCCTCATCCTGCAAGGGTCTGGACCTGCAGGGAGTGTTTGGAGATCCGGCCCCCACACTTTCCCAGAGGAAGCATCAGTCTCACCCACTCCCTGGTCTCTGAGAGCTCTTCCTGCCTATTAACTCCCACTCCAAAACATGTAGTTCCCTGTGAACGAAGATACATTTGCCTGTCAGAAAGCTTAATTAACACAAATGGAAACTGTCCTCCCCATCATCCTCCTCAGTCTGATCTCCAGCTAAGAAACAAGGATGTAGTTCAGTTTATTTTGATTTATGTTCTGGATTAGTGACAAGTGACAAACCTGACTATACTGCTTACTCCTTTTGCTACAGAAAAGGTCTGTGCTTTGGCTTTACAAGAATGACAGTCAAGTTTTATTATCCATAAAACAGACTTGATCTGTCACTGCCATAATGTCCTCCCCCTGCATTTTTCCACTGCCCCTGATGAAACATAAATACCTTCTATCCCTTTAAAGGTCACAACTCCACAGGAAAACCAATACAAGAATTCATGATTCTTTACTTTAAGAACACAACTGCAAATGAATTACAGCAAACAGCTCAGTTGCATGTAGGATTGTGCTTTCCCAGGGCACTTGGTGCTACACACCACTCACTGCTCTGTCTGCTCACGTCAGTCGTAGCTTTCAAACCCACAACACTTTTCCAGGGTCAAATTCTATGCCTGAACACCACACAGTGCTCAGAGGGCACTATTTTTTTACAGCCCACTACACTGAGTACCCAGGAATTAGACGCTATTCACTCTGTAATTTTCCATTTTTGACTGACTGAAACTTTCCTCCTTTCTAACCTTCACGTCCCCCATTGCAACCTCACCTCCAGCTGAGCTGCCTACTGAGCTCGCTAGTGAGAGACACATTTGGTTTCTCAGTACATCAGCTAACACTTAGGTCTTTGATCATCTGCAGTTGGGCTGCTCCTGCTTTGATCAGAAGTAAGCTTTTCTTGATCATACTACACGAATTAAAAAGCCTGAGACTTCCATCCTGCCTTCAAGTGACGCTTGGGTTGAGACACTGATTTGTCTGATACACTGAACAAAGGTTTAAAAGTATAATTTACTGCAATGGTCAGGCATCTTTTAAGCAGGATCATTTTCTGAAGCTGCCTTCCCATTCATTCTGCTCACTCCTGAAGTGCCAGTTCCCAACACTGCTTGCAGTGAGGCTGCAGCACTTGCACGGCGAGACCGCAGAGCATGGCAGGAAGGATTCCACCTACCCTGCAGGAAAAACAAAGATCTTTCCAAAAATATACATTATCCAGTGACTAAGAAATGAGAATAAAAGAACCAAGCCCTGCAGGCTTCTACTAAATGCTTATTAAGAGTGCTGTCCAATTAGCAGTGCCTGTGTTCATCACGATGGGCAGATCCA